GTGCCCTGGGTTTGTGCACCTCTAACCAAGGATTCACCTGGACACAGGAAGCAATGCTCAGGGTTTCAATCCAGGGCATGTTTGACTTACCATGCTGAGGGATTTGGTGTGCAAAGCGTTTTTAGCTAAATAAATAAAAAAGGACAGGCACAATTTTCTAACAAGTAATGTCATTTAATGAATGATACACTCTAGAAAATAGAAACTACCCAGATGCTGGTCGGTTGGTCTGTTTGGGGCTGGGAGAAGGCCCTTGATTGGACGTAGAGCGCCTTCTTGGGGTTCTTTTGTCAGCRTTTGTAGTTGCTGGAAACAAGGAAACGTCCATAGATCGAAAGAGACACTAAAGGAGCAATTGTTTTCTAAAATGTGGGAAGAGTGCAGGGTGCCTTCCTTCCCACCCTGTGTCGCTGGGACAGTGGCATGAGGGCTCAGAGCTCACCAACACCTTCCCAGACAATCCATCCCTCAGACAGGGACGGGCTCAACGCCGGGACCCCACAGCCACCGCAGATCTGCCCTGGGCACAGCCCCGCGGGCTCTGCCGTCACTGCGCCGCCTCCTGCCTGCCCYTCTGCACCTGCTGCGGCTCTTCCCGCAAGGCCTGGCTGCTGATCCCGGGGAAGATGCTCTTCAGGATGTCACARTAGACCATGTACAGCTCCGGGTCTATCTTGGGCTTGGGCAGCGAGCGGGAGTTGCAGGGCTGCTCGGCGGCCGGGCGCTGCGGCCAGTAGACATCGCTGAAGAGGGCGGTGAGGATCTTGTGGGCAGCCTTGTAAGGGTCATCCTCGAACTGCACCATGGCCTTGAGCTCCGTCAGCGTGTAGCCGTTGTACCTCTTGCTGTCCTCGGCCAGGGGCTGCACCGTCTCGCCGATGTGCCTCACCTTCCACTTGAGGCATTTCAGGTCTTCCTTGACGTCCTCTAGCTCTCTCTCCATGGCCTGGAATTCCCTCGCGGTCACGAATCTCCTGCCAAGGAAAGAAGCGGCAGACACAGGGTGGAGTCGAGGGGCTGCAGCGGCGGCGCAGCTTTGGGAGGGACGTCCCGGCCGTGTCACTGAGCGCTGTCCCTGCTCTGATCTGTCGGGCTGCGAGGGACAGCAGAGCTCCTCTCTCTGCTGGRACATGGCAGAGTTGTGCTGTGCTGTTTGGGAAAGGAGGCACCTCAAACCGTGCCCTGTTGGATGAGCTGAGCTTGGCGACCTGGCCCAGGTCTGCAGAGCTAAATGGGTGTGTGGGAAACAGGGCATTTTGCTTCCTGGGTAACGGGGTTTAGTGGGAGCACAGGGCAGTTAGTGGAAAACAACCACTGGGAACATCTGAATCATAAAAGAGATCTGAATCATAAAAGATATTTGACTTTCTTTTGGGGGGCTCTTACCGACACTATACCAACATGGGCCATGTGAGGGCTTAGACACCTGAGTGCTCTGGATACATACCTTTCGTGATCAGGATCTTCCAGATCCGATTCAAACCCCTTTCCTGTATTCTTTAACTCAGTTTTAGAATAGCCAGGAGCCTGGGAACTCTCTTCGGGAGTGGCTGTCTCTGGAGGCCTTGTGCTTGTGCTGGTTGGGGTCAGTGTGTGATCTGAAGCTGAAGCTGGCAGGTTTTGTGCTGTGTGAGGACAGAAGGTGGAGGAGGAAGCTGCGCTGATCCCTGGGCTGACTGCAGAGGAGTCAGAGTATTGCTGTGGCTTGGCTGAGCTGGGTGTTAGACTGAGCCTGGGGCTGGCTGGGCACGATGCTGGAAAAGTCCTTGCTCCCAGTGGGCTGGAACACGATATTGCTGAATTTGTATCTCTTTGCTCGAGTGGTTGAGGGTTTGGTGATTCCCCTGGGGCCAATCTAGTGATGGAGGTGATGTCCAGCAGGGTTTGATCCTGAACCATGGAGATTGGGCTGGTTGGTTCTGATGAAAGTGAAGAGCTGCTTGATGTGTCGCTGGAAGAGCTTGACGTAGCGAATGGGGGAGTTTTCTGAGCATTGGGGTCACTCCTGTTCCTCTGYGGGCTAGTGACACTTAGAGCTGGGTGTTGTGAAGCCCTGAAGAAAGACAAACACACACTTTTTCCTCTGGACTGGGCTGAAGGCTTAGAAGACAATTTTAGGCCCGTTTTGGGACAATTTTGAGCCTGCTTCCCACAACTGCGTGTCCCCGGAGGCTGAACCGCCTCTCGTGTCTGTATAAAACCCTCAGCTTCTCATGGCCAAGAGCAAAGCATCTGAGGATAAGGCACATAAATTCGGGAGCAGCTCCTCCCTGCTGCCCTCAGAGTGGGAATCCCTGGAACATCCATGTCCTCCTTCCCAAAAATCCCAGGGCTCTGTGAGAACCCAGGGTTTGGTGCTGGGGAAGGACAGGAAGGGATGAAAGCTGCTGGAATAATGACTGAGAACACACCAGGCTAAAAGCTGGCTGCAGGTGGCCCTGAGCACACTGCCCAGCATGGTCTGCCTTCCACCCATGGGCCCTCAAGCTTCAGTCTCCTGGGAGCTCTGCCTGGGAACTCAGGAAATCTGAATTTTCCTTAGTTTGTCAATACTGATGGCTAGAGAGGGAGATGTTCCAGCCCTGGAGCTGTCCTGAAAAGCAGGGAACACAGCTAAAAACGCCTTGACCTTGAAGGGGAACACAAAGACAGCGCYGTGCAGATCATGGCTGGGGATTTCCAACAGCCTAAGGACATGGCCAACTTTTGTAGGGATGCCAGGAACCCACTGAGCTCCTAGTGCACCTGCTAAATTCTTGTGGTGGGAGACAGCAGCAAATCCTGGTCTGGGTGGGATGTGTGAGGTCCTGTCCTGGCAGCACCTCTGGCTTGAATTAGCTACACACACTGCTCCCCCTCCCTGCCCCTTTCTCGGTGTTGGATGCAATTAAACACCAAATATTTAAGGTTCTGAAGAGCATGTCTCACACCTCCGGGCTTCAATAGGGTTAATTTGCTAAATCGCGGCTTAATTATCAGGTTGAAATCAAATTTAAAGGTTTTATAATTGGAAAAGCAAGCAGTTACAGAGCTACTGCRTAAAAACAGAGCCAGAAAGGAATCACAAAACGGGTTTGCAAAGGGCAGGAGGGAAAACAAGCACAGGTGTGTCAGAGGGAGCACCTGGGAGTGTCCTGCCTTCATAAACTGAACAGGGCTGGAAAGGCAGAGCTGCCAGCTGGGTGTGAGGAAAAGCTCTTTCACCCTGAGGATGTTCAGACACTGGGACAGAGGCCAGGAGAGCTATTGGGATCTGCATCCTTGGAYGTGTTCAGATCCCACCTGGACAAGGGATGGAGCAGCCTGAGCCAGCCTGGACACTCTGGGCTGGACTGGAGCCCCCTGGGTCCCTGTCCACACTGTTATTCTGTGCTTCTGCCTAAAATGATRAAAAGGACTTATTTCCCCCCAGTTCCCCTTGCTCCTCTCACTTTTCTCCCCTCTGAGTCCCACCTCCCCCTTCTTCTGTTTCACTGGAGCCTCTGGGCTGTCCATTTTCCCACTGACTTTACAGTGCCTGTTGCAGGAGAGTCCCTCGTGAATAAATAGATTTTTAAAGGAAAATCGGAGTTTTTTGGCTCAGAGGGGTTGCTACCCCTCCCTTGTATAAGTCAAGAGTCAATAACTCAGGCTCTGGGCAGTGGGAGACAAGAGACAACCCCATGTTAAAGCAATTAAACCAAAAATGCATGTTGTAACTTGCCTTTTGGGGTTTAAAATGACACGTATTTATCCTCAAATATCTCACAGGGCCAAACTATCTGAACATGAGCTGAGGACAACCCCTACCCACATTCCAGGGGGAAATCCAAAATGCTCAGCAGGTGAAAGGCTATTTGGGTGCATACACAGTCTGAAAGACTTTGTTTCACATGTTCAGCAGTGTGGGACAGGGTTGGCTTTTGGGGGGGGAGGTTTGGAGAGGTTTGTTTTTTTTTTGCATAAATCCAGGATTAGCTGTAGGAGATGAAGCATTTATTGAAAGATGCAATTTGAAAGAGTGACAGAAAGCACGTTTCATAACTAATCCCACTGAAATTTATATAAGAAACCTTTCAATTCACCTGTGCACTGGAGGAAACAAAAATGTATTATAAACTACCAGCTCATTGTGCTTTCCTTTCCCACCCCTCAGTTTTCAGGGGCTGCCACACCACACATGGCACCAAATTTACTTTTATCATCACCCTCATCTCGGAAGCAGAAAAACTGGTAGCTCWAGGAGCAATGTTAAAGCAAAATATCAGTGTGGATGTCAGCAGAGGTAAATGAGGACAGAGCTGAGACCTTCAGCTTTGGAATCTCCTCGGGGGCAAGGCTTTGCCTGCAGACAGGAACGAGATCCCCGCCGCTGTCAGCGCAGCAAGGCCGGATCTTCCACCCGTAACCATGGTGCTCCATCAGAGGGGATATTTCCCCACCTTTTAATATGGTGAATCACTAGAATATTTAACTGGAATAAATTACAGCAAGAACTGCAAGACCCGGAGTTGGAATCGACACGAGCCCGCAGCTGATTGCAGCTGTCAGGCAAGGAGAAACCTTGGCTCAACTTTGAGCGACGCCTCGGATGCGTCAGGCCCTTGTTGTCTGCCGCCTCCCAGCCGCTCTGCTCAGCATATCAAGCATGTTCCCCGTTGTCACAGTGACCTTGGCTGCCGTCTGTGCCTTGCCCTCTCCAGCTGAGCCCGTTCTACGGACTTTTATCGGAGGCATTTGAAAGTTGCCTGCGCGCCCGGCGCCTCTTTGCTGCTGCGGCACTCGCGACCGAGGGGAAAAAAAACACTCTAGTGGATATTCTTTTTTTTTATGAATCATTTCCACCATGTTTTAAACCTGGAGTTCTTCTGATGAACTTGTGTGAATAGGGAAAAATTACACTATGCTTTAGAGTGAAGCGCGGAGGGGCTGGTTGCATAAATCTCGCTGTAGACAGCCGGGGTGGGAGGATGGCAGGGGAGCTGTGGGATGGGCCCAGGGGAAATGCCTACAGGGTGATGACATGAGAATAAAACTATTTTTTTCAAGGCCTCCTCTGTGTCAGGTGACCCTTCTGAAGTGCCCACGCTGCCAAAACAGTGACTACATTATTTCTTTAACGCTGAATTAATTTTGGATAATCTCTCAGTTTTCTACAAGAGAAGCTGGTGTCCTGAACCCTGGGTTTATCTGCCTCAAATAACACCAAGGCTTTTAGCCACAAGCAGTAAGAATTTGCTGTTTTCMTGCTCAGCTCTTGCTCTTCTGGGCTATTTGTCTTTTCCTTGGCTTTGCCACCACACCTGTCCCTTCCTGCCCTTTGTGATGTTTCTCCTGCCTCTCTGCTCTGTGGGGTCCAGGCTCCTCACATTAAAGCCTCACRGTGGGAGAGCTCTGGAGGAAAGCATGGAAGTGGCAGGGACATACAGATGTCTGAAATCAGGCACTGCTGCTGTCTGGAGCCTGATAACAATGAGCATTTCTTGTAATAAATAACTGTACAACAATAACAAAAAAATCCTGACGTGAAACTTCTCCTTCTGTGTTTTTATGCAGTGGCTGTGCACAGCTGGAGCATTGAGATCTCCCTGCCCTGCACTTCTGAAAGAAAAACTTGAGACCTCCAAGGTCAAAAATGACAGCAAATAGGCTTTAAAAGTGTCTGGAAATGCTAAATTTGGTATGTCCRGGGGTATCAAATGTTTAGGGGCCAGTGCCATATGTTTGCACAGGAAGGCAGCTTGGGGAGAGCAGAGGGTGCCAAGTTATAGTTAGAGCTCCCTGGTGCTGTTCTTAGCCCAGCTTGGGCAAGTTTAAACCCTGTGAAAGGGGTTTAAAGGAAATAAAATTATTTTCTTTTTAACCCTGTTAAAAGAAAATCATCATTTTGTGACAGACATAAGATGGTTTCATATAGAGTGATCAAGCCTGAATAATTGTATTGTCCTGATTGAGACTGCTCTGGAATCAAGCTCCTGATGGAATTTATCATTTCAGGCCACTTCTCAAAGCGGAGAGCTSAGTCTTGCCAACAGAGGAACCTGATATCCTGCCCTGGCATGAGGCCCTTTGTGCTACCTGTGCTCCCACAGTGCTCCTGGGCTGCTCAAAAACTCTCATATCCTCTCTTCCAAAATCACCTGGCCAGGTGGGCTTTGTCTCCTACAATTGCTCAGCCTTGTTCTCCTCTTCAAAGCTTTGCTCTTCCCCTCGTCAGCGCCACTCCCCCAAATGCTGTCCTCTCAACAAGGACAGATGCCCTGTTTGTCTTCGTGGGAGGACAGAGAGATTCACGATGCCTGAGGATGAGCCAACACCCCTTCTCTGCCGTGTGGTTGGGATGAGAACACCCTCAGAGCACTCCTGGTGAGGGCAGTGGGCAGGTCCGGCAGGGAGTGAGGTGCTGGTCGAGGTGAGCAGCAGGAAAAAACCTGGGGTGGCTCCTGGTGTTCTGCTGGTGTGGGACCACCCCTGTGCAGTGTCCATGGGGGATTCCAGTGTCCATCAGGGGCTCCCAGTGTCCTGCTGGCTCAGGATCACCCCACTGTCAGTGTCCATGGGGGACTCCCAGTGTCCATCAGGGGTTCCTGGTGTCCATCAGGAGCTCCCAGTGTCCTGCTGGCACAGGAACACCTCTGTGCAGTGTCCATGGGGGGTTCCAGTGTCCATCAGAGGCTCCCAGTGTCCATGGGGGATTCCTAGTATCCATCAAGGGTCCTGCTGGTGGGGGACCATCCCTGTGTGTGTCCTGCAGTGTCCATCAGGGGCTCCCAGTGTCCATCAGGGGATCCCAGTGTCCATCAGGAGCTCTCGGTGTCCATCAGGGGGTCTCAGTGTCCATCACGGGGTCTCAGTGTCCTGCTGGCACTTCCTCTGCTGGTGGCACGTGGGTGTAGGGTGGGTGGATGTTCCAGGTGAGGTGTCCCCTCCTTCCATACCACCCTGAGCTCAGTGGGACCTTGGTGGCTGCTCTGCCTTCAGCCAAGCCCTGCTCACACCGTTCTCTCACCACTCTCAGTTCTCTGCTGGCCAAGGGCTCCTGGCCAGGAATGTCACAAGGACRGGGAGTGTGGG